AGCCTCTCTCTCCAAAAGTCATCCAGTCAAGTTGCTAGGGTGAAGGCAACCTAAAAGGACCATGCTACTATCAAATCAAGTATATACCAATTATAATTATGGTCTTAGACATCTAATCCAACATTCCAAACGCCCAAAAACCCTTTGAGGTCAATTTCAGGGTTGGAGAAGAACTTTGGAGCGAATATTTGAAGAATTGGAAGCTAGGAGCATTAAGAGTACAAATCAGTTTACTTAATGACTTGGTGTGATTCCATTATTCGAATATTTAGTTGTATTTAATATATTATGTTTTTTTGATCAAATATGTTATGTTTTAAAGTTTTGATTTTTATTACCTATTGCCATGGTTCTAAAAAACGCGCCATGGCGCGCCTCAAGGCGTGCCATGGCGTGAGGCGTGGTGTAGCCGTTACGAAAACGTCCAAGGCGAGTTTGTTAAGCGTGGCGCCCAAATAACGTGTCAAGGCGCGCCTTATCGCAATATGGCGCGAGTTTTTTTCAAGGCGCGGATTTTTTTGTTTTTTTGTTTTTTTTATCTGGCCTAAAATAATTGAGTTTTTGCTAACTTTTTATATTAAATACTAATATAACACTTCTAAAAACTTGATATACTTTTTAAAAATCAATAATTATATGATTTATCTCTTGTAATATATAGAAAATAGTCACGCCTTGAAAAACGCCATGACTCGTCAAGGCTTGTCATGGCTTAACTTTTACCTTGCCGTCAAGCCACGCCCTCACGTTATTTAGAACCTTGCCTATTGCTAAGTTAGTAGAATTTATACGATCAATCAGAATTTGTTAACTAAAATCATAGTTGTCCAACACCATTTGGCGATTGTGACTAGTAATCGACCAAATCCTAGGGTTAAGTAATATAATCGTAAACTTAAATGTGTAAGGGAGCATTAGAGAACCATGTATGCCTGTAATTGACTTTCATGACTATTAAAGTTAATCTTTAAATTAAATCTCTCATGATACGAACTTAATTATAATTGTTTAGATAGTTAATTGCATGATCCTTATGTTAATTGTCTTGATAGTTATACAAGTTAGTTAATCAGACCAAAATTACTAATTACATTGGAAATCGGTAAATAATAATTAATATTCATTGCACTTATTTGGAATCCACCATATCTGAAGGTGAAAACGAATCTATGTGAAAACATCATTATCTCTTTTGTCTTTAAATTTATTCTCTAGTTTTGTTTACGTGTTATTAGTTTTAGTTGGGTTTAATTAAATTTAAACAGAACCCTCACCCATCCCTCATTACTTTATTGTTTATTGTTTAATTAGCATTTGAGTTTTATGATATGAACCATTAGAGTTCCCTTTGTATTCGACACCATTTCTTATTATAACGATACTACTACACGATTAGGTACACTGTTTGTTGTGTGTATCAGTTTAGCTATGAGATATTAGTATTCATAAATTTAAAACCCGTGTATAAAAAATACACAACATTTCATATTCATGTTTTTTCTTAGGTTTGTAGCAAAGTTAATGATGTAGTATATATGTGTGTAAGATTTTTCTATGGGTAGTATAACAATCTTTAACATTATACTTTTTTGAAGATGTATGCTAATTTGTAGTCTGGCTTCAAAAATTTATTGATTAATATTTTATGCCAATTTATAGTGTGGTGAAATCTACTTGTTGTTTGGGTCTTGCCTAGCTACTGGTCATGACTAAACTGTAATGGATTACAAACTATCATGACATTGGGTATAAAAGCAATAAATGGTATAAATTGTATAAAGGATATAAATGTTAAAATGGTACAAAGGGTATAAAAGGTAGAAATGGTATAAATTGCATAAATGATATAAATGGTAGAAATAGTATAAAGGGTATAATTGGTTAAAAGGTATAAAAGGTATAAATGGTATAAAGGGTATAAATGGTATAGAGGGTATAAATGGATGCATAAAAAGTGATACTTATGAGTGGTGCTAGCTGTACACACAATAAGAAGTAAATCATAACTTGTACACCTTCCATGGCTGCTATCTTCCATGGTCATTTTGAGAATTCTTTCAGCAAAAGGTAAAACCATTTACTTGATTTAATTAATACATTTAGAAAATTCTTTCAGCAAAGGGTAAAATGGTCATTCACAACATTCTTTCAACATAAGTTGCATTAGATTCACTGTTATAGCATAAGTTACATTAAATTCACTGTTATAGCATTGTACTTTGAACAATATATTTAATTATAACATTGTATTCTAGATTTCTCAGCCAAAAAGCATCATTCAACAAAAAATGGCAAGATGCCTTTCCTTCCTTATTTTCAGCGTACGTCACTAACAATCTACTTGGGTTATTTTTTCATACCATAATACATAACCTTTAAACAAAGCATAATTCGTTAACATTTGCTTCAGTTCATATCGGCCAGAGAATCTCATACCTAATAAGGGTATTATTGTGTCCTATTTCTGGTTGGGATCATGAATAGAAAATTATACCACCTCATTATCAACTTCATCATCTACCTCTTCTTCTGGAATACGATTCTTATGGGACAAAAAAGGATCAATAGATTTTGGATTTTCTATAACCTCATCATCGACTTCATGGTCCACTTATACATCATCTGACATGACCGAGTCCACATCATCTTCACATGTATCACTAGCATGGTCCCATTCTTCGACTTTCTCTTCTTCAAACCATTCCATAATTGTCTCATGGTCATAATCAATGTAGATATTGATTTTACGATCATTACTTTATCTGGCATCAAGAAACCTTACATAGTCATTTTCTCTCTAAGTTCCCTCAACCCATCTATGGGGGCCCGATTTAGAAGACAATAATACACATCACAACATCTATCATTGATCAAATTTCGGAGGTAGATAATGAAGTCCTTGAACTCCATGTTTCATAAGTCTACCCCTGTAACAAAATTCTTATCATAACGAAAGTAAATCAAAGGCTTAGGAACAAACGTACCTTTGTGGTTACCAGTCGGTGAGATTTGAACAAAACGAATAGTTTGTTGGTTTTTTTCACAACATCTATCATTGATCAAATTCCAGAGGTAGATAATCAAGTCCTTGAACTCCATGTTTCATAAGTCTAACCGGTAACAAAAGTCTTATCATGACCGAAGTAAATCAAAGACTTAGGAACAAACACACCTTTATAGTTACCAGTCGGTGAGATTTGAACAAAATGTATAGTTTGTTGGTATTTTTTTCACATCTATCATTGATCAAATTCTAGAGGTAGATAATGAAGTCCTTGAACTCCATGTTTCATAAGTCTACTCCCATAACAAAAGTCTTATCATGACGGAAGTAAATCAAAGGCTTAGGAACAAACACACCTTTGTGGTTACCAATCGGTGAGATTTGAACAAAACATATAGTTTGTTGGTGTTTTTTTCACAACATCTATCATCGATCAAATTGCAGAGGTAGATAATGAAGTCTTAGAACTCCATGTTTTATAAGTCTCCCCCTATAACAAAAGTCTTATCATGACGAAAGTAAATCAAAGAATTAGAAACAAACACACCTTTGTGGTTATCAGTCGGTGAGATTTGAACAAAACATATAGTTTGTTGGTGTTTTTTTTTTATAAAAAGTCAAAAACATTACATGTATAATATTTTTTAAACATATCAAACTTAAATAACGTTTTTAAACAATTTTTAAACATTATTTTTAAACAATAACAACATTGACAGAGACATTAAATAGTAGGAGGAAAATGAATAAAATCATAGTAAATGGTTTTATTGGAAACACATCTATTGAAATAACTAATTAGATTAATGTGAAGATTGAGGTTTGAGTTCATGAAAGTATGTAGTGATTTGATAATAGGAATTGAAAGTGTGAAACAAAAATGATAAGGCATAGAAGTACATACCGTTGACCGTCGATGACAAGGCTGGAGAAGGTTTTGCTCTATTTTTCTGCAGAGGAAGTATGTCAACTGTTCCTGTGTAAATCAAAGAATAAAAATGTTAGAATTATGTATTATGTATAAAAGATATATAACGATGAAAAAGAAGAAGTAAATAAATTGAAATGTATTTTAAATTTAAATTTGAAATAGAAGATAGCATACCTTATAAGTTCATTTTTTGCAAAGATATCATTTGACTTATAAAGCCAGTTTACTATGTATAAGATCAATTAGAATCAATTAGAATGATTAATATGGTAAGCAATTAAATATTATAAAATGTGAATAAAGATTCTATAATTAAGGTGTTGATTTTATAGGATTTGATATAATCTCTATTATGAAAATTCAACGGGTATTAAAGGTAAACACCGTAAGTTATCTTTAAACATGGTAACGATTGATGGAAAAAAGAGTTTTTACCAAAACTTTGGTAGGTGATGTCACAAAATGATTTAAGGGTGGAAAATCTATAATCAAAATACAATTAAAAGCTCTGATTGTTTAAAATGATGTCATAAGGTTTCTCTTTTAATAATATTTAGAGATATAAAAATTCAACGAGTATTAAAGGTAAACACCGCAAGTTAACGATTGATGAAAAAAAAGTTGTTATCAAAACTTTGGTAGGTGGTGTCACAAAATGATCTAAGGGTGGAAAAATCTATAATCGAAATACAATTAAAAGTCGTGATTGTTTAAAATGATGTCATAAAGTTTAGTTTTTTAATAATATTTAGAGATGGATTAATGAATTAAAAACTTCGATCCAAACTGATTTATTAATTAAATCGATGAGCAGATTGAGTAGCCGATTTTTGCGAGCTTTAAGTCCAAGTGATACGTTGACTAAGGCTGAAGATACGGATTTCCCTCTCTCTAAGTCTCAAGTCTCACTCTCACCACGAAAATACCACCGACCTTATTCACGTCAAACTCAAACAATTCCAAATACAAAAATAAAATAACAATAAATTAATCAAATATTAATCAAATACAATCACGTAATTCATGTGTTTGATTTCATACCTCTCGCCCTATAAAACCCAACCAAATATCTACCCTTCCCTTCATCAAAACTATCACCGTCTTCACAATCAACACTCAACACCATTCACTCCTCTGCGCATTTTTGACATCTGGACCGACTTCAAGATCTGATTGTATATAAGGGTTCAGTTTGCAAAACGTATGAGCTTGTTCATCAACCTGTGTTGTAATTGTAATTGTAATTGTAATTGTTCCAATTCCAATCACTTCAGCACTTGCCTTCTCTTTTTCTTTCTTCATCGCTCCCCTCAATTTGATAACCCTTGGATACTACAACACCCATTACTTTAGTTTATCGCACAATTGTGTTCTTGTTAGTTTTCCGCAAAGGGAAATTGTCTCCATCATCAACTACTACATGGGTTCGTCAGCCAAGAATAAACCCCAATTGATACAAGGTATTGCTTTCTTATACTATTTGTTTAACAAAAAAAATTCCCTCGACTTATATGTCTAAATTTGGAGGATGTCTATCAAATCTAGATGGCAAATTCTTATGTCTTCGATCTAATTCATGTCGCCTTTCAAATGTAGCACCCTGTTATTCAGCCATCAAAACAGGGCGTTCGACTTCACCATCTGTAATTGTAGTTGGAGGTGGCTTTGCTGGGATAGCTGCTGCTCGTGCCCTCCATGATGCTTCATTCCGGGTACTCTAAAGAAATTTCAATTGTGATACTTTCCTACTTGGGTACATAGAATATAGAACACCCAATAGAATATAGAAGACAATATGTTATTAATTCCATGTTCTTTTCAGGTTATATTACTCGAATCTCGTGAAAGAATTGGTGGTCGAGTTCGGACAGATTACTCATTTGGTTTTCCTGTGGACTTAGGGGCATCGTGGTAAGAGTCGTTCACGATAATGATTGTTAGGTGATATGCATACAGTATGCTTGTGTGCTGTGTGTGATTATTATGCTTAATGTTAATGTTAATGTTGCAGGTTGCATGGAGTTTGCAAAGAGAATCCCTTGGCACCTCTTATTGGAAGACTTGGGTTACCTCTCTATCGTACAAGTGGTGACAACTCAGTGCTATATGATCATGATTTGGAAAGGTATGTCACTTCATCTTTTTAAAGATTATCATGTATGTGGTTCAAACTTCAAAGTTCAATCCATAGGGGCCAGTTGGGTAGTAGTATTTTGCCTATGAACTTTAGAAGTCAAACAATAGGACTATGAACTTCCATATTTGAGAAATGAATTATGAAAGTTCACACAACATTCATTGTTATAGATGTATTCTTTTACTGATTATTATTACAATTCTTTAGCTATGCACTTTTTGACATGGATGGGAATCAAGTTCCTCAAGAACTCGTCTCACAAGTAGGCGAAACATTTGAGAGCATATTGCAAGAGGCATGTCATCTCCCTCTTCTTTTATTTTCTTTTTGGATTTTCTGTCTGTTCTCTTTCTGACATGGAGGGTAGTTTATTGCAGACAAATAAAGTAAGAGAAGAGTTAAGTGAAGATTCATCTATACAACATGCAATCTCAATCGTCTTTGAAAGAAACCCACAACTAAGGTACTCTAAACTACCTTATCAATCTTTATAAACAATGCCTCTATATCCAAATAATTGTAAGACACATTTTGATTTTGATTTTCTTCCTTTTTTTGCCATTTTTACAGGTTGCAGGGGCTTTCTCATAAGGTATTACAATGGTACTTGTGTCGAATGGAAGGGTGGTTTGCTGCTGATGCTGACACCATATCTCTCAAATGTTGGGACAAAGAAGAGTTGTTGCCAGGTGGACATGGGCTAATGGTCCGAGGTTATCAACCTGTTATAAACACACTTGCAAAAGGCCTTGACATCCGCTTAGGTCACAGGTATTAAAATTGTGATCAATTTTCTTTGTTTTATCATTTATGGCCTTTCAACTTACACCCTACATTTTCCTCTTGTTCTTGAAAAGGGTAAAGAAGATAAACAGGCGTACAAATGGTGTGAAGATAACCATTGAAAATGGCAACACATTCTTTGCAGATGCAGCCATAGTTGCTGTCCCTTTAGGTGTTTTGAAATCAAACACCATGACTTTTGAACCAAGACTACCTAAATGGAAGGAAGAAGCCATAGCTGACCTTGGAGTTGGAATTGAGAACAAGATCATTCTACATTTTGAGAAAGTATTTTGGCCAAATGTCGAGTTTCTAGGAGTAGTTGCAGATACTTCATATGGATGTAGCTACTTTCTTAATCTTCACAAAGCTACAGGTCATCCTGTTCTTGTTTACATGCCTGCAGGAAAGCTAGCAAGAGATATTGAGAAAATGTCAGATGAGGCTGCATCTAGTTTCGCTTTTATACAGCTTAAAAAGATTCTTCCAGATGCTTCCACCCCAGTAATTCTACAAAATATCGACTTACTTTCACAGTTTCATGTTTACTGATCGAATAAGTGTATACTGAATGTTACTTTTTCATCTTTTATGCAGATTCAGTATTTGGTTTCTCATTGGGGAAGTGATGTGAACTCATTAGGGTCATATAGCTATGATACAGTAGGAAAACCCCATGATCTGTATGATAAGCTAAGGATCCCTGTGGATAACTTATTCTTTGCAGGGGAGGCAACAAGTTCTGAATATCCAGGGTCTGTACATGGTGCTTATTCAACTGGATTAATGGCTGCAGAAGATTGCAGGATGCGTGTTCTTGAACGTTATGGGGAGTTGGATCTTTTTCAATCTGTTATGGGTGAGGATACCCTTGCTTCTGTGCCATTGTTAATATCGCGTATATAAAGTCTTGTTAATGTATTAAGTGCTTAATAGGCAAGTGGAAAATGGAGTGTAATGTACTTGAAGTTATAGTGCTGATATATGTACCTTAAGTTGGCATATTGCAAGTGTAAAGTTTTTTTTTTTAAATGGAATTGCTGAAGATATGCTTAAGAAAAGCAGACAATAGTTGGCAAATAGTGGTAGTACTACTATTAAAATATTAATGAATGTGGATATATTGATTAGGTGAGTGATATGATAAATCATTTGTGATACTTGGTTGATCTATAATCGTGTATGAGGTGTGTTTCTTTCCATTTTAAGTTTTAATTTCTGTAAAACACCAAACATGAGAAAAGTAATAATATGTTTTTTTATGTAAAACACCAAACATGAGAAAATTATTTGATATTTCCTTTTTTCATTTTGATAAGTTCCATATGTAAGGTGAGAGGATAAGTTTCTATCTTCTTAACTTGTAGTTTAGTAGAATCAAGAAAATAATAAATAAATAAAAACTAAATTTTAATGGTAATATTAATATGTATATACATGTAAATGATAAATCCTTCACAAGTTTTGTTTAACTGGTAGAAGATTTATGAACATATTCACCAAACTAAGTATTAGTTCTCGTTCATAGAGCATGAGATGTATATAACGACAATTAGGTGGCTCACAACAAGAAACTCATGCCCCAAGAAGCACAATGAATCTATGTAGGAATTGAAAGTTGAAACTACAAGTTCAATCCATATAAAAACTGAAACTTGTATATCGTTAGATTGACTTTGACCAATTCAACATATATATATATATATATATATATATATATATATATATATATATATATATATATATATATATATAGTTAGGTTCAAATGTTTATAGCAATTATTGTGTGCATGAATGCACCAATAGGAATTTAGGAAAAAATAAATAATTAAACAAATAGTAATAAATAGTAAAAGGGTATGATAGTAATCTAACACTATTTAATTATAGTAGGCATTTTAAAACATTTAATATCTCCTAAAAATAGAGAAATCAGTATTAAAATCTTTTTACACGTCTTTTTCATCTCAGTAACCCTACACCACCGGTTTTTCCTTAGCCGTACATCACCAACACCTTCGGCCACATGCTCGTTCAATCGCCGTCCAAAGAAACTCGGTGACCCTCTTCACCGCCAGTGCTACACCACCCTCTGCCATTCCCCTGTTATTACGACATGGATCTTATTAAAAAATTAATCATCTTATTTCTACTGGTGCGATTAACTTTCGATCTTCATTTTTTGATTTTATAAAAACTGGTTTTGGACGATTAGCTGCCACCAATACCATTGAGGGTTTATCGATCAATACAATAGCTTTCATGGTTTTTCACTTTCATCTTTTTTTTGGTTCTGCTTCCCTTTTCCGATCCAGAATTGTTCACCTTGGTGGCAGGGGCCATCGTATCCCTCAATCAGGTAATCGTCTCATTTCTTTTAATTTTTAAATATCCTTCAGTTGCACCCTATTCCTACTTCTCCTTTAATTTGGGATTCCTTTGTTTTTTGGTGGGGCCAATTGGAATTATACAACAAATGAATGAAGCTACATGGGATTGTAAGTTTCATTTAATCCATTTTTTCAATGTATTTCTTGATATGTGAATTGGAACTTGAATATCTTGGAACATACACGACATATATAACATATTGTTCACCATTCTTTAAAAATTTGGTTATATTGTTCAAAAAATAATGTGTCGATTGCACTGTTTAAGAATTATTCTAACTGTAGTGGTACATGTCATTAGTCTTTGACGAAAAGGGTTAAGCTGGCATTCTGTAAGAATTTGCAAACACATGGACTACTTTTCTGTTGCTATAATTTACACAAGTTGTAGGTGCAAACAAAGGTGGTTTTTTACACCTGGTGGAATATATACTATCTATTTGGACCTTTTTACCCTTGGAGGGTCTTCTTCCTGCTTATTGCCCCCTTACTGTATTCAATGTGGTTTGGATATTTGTTTTTTTTCTTGTAACATGATTTATTATACGTAAAGAGAAATTGAATAGGAATATAATGCATTTGGAATACATACATGGAGTCTTCATCCTGGTGCTTTCATAGATCATCATTTTTTCACAACAAAAAACTTGTGAGCCGAAGATGGTTTATATATTCTAATTGTTTTTTTTTCTTAGTCACCTTTTGTGTTAACATGATCTTTTCATGCATTTATATTTCAAATGTTTTTGTTCGTTGGGTCTATTCTTGATAATACAAATTCTTTTAAGAATATTCAAAACCATTCTGCAAGAATAGTTTATTCTGTAAAGATATTATTGTTGTATTCTGATAGAATAGTAGTTAATTATTTATATGTTTAATGTGCAGTTGTTACAAGTGTATCACTACAAAATATTTGGCAATGAATTTGTGATAGAAATGGTTTGAAGAATGGCTTGAAGACCTGATGGGAAAGACTTGAAGAATGAATCAAAGAATGATCACACTCATTGTTTAATAATGTTGTTACTTTTTAAAAATTACACTTGTTATTCTTTCAGAATGTTGTTATTATTAAATGAATCACAATCATACAATGTAATTATTTGGTATATTATTAGTTCAAGAATCGATTTTGTGTATTCTTTCAGAATGTATTTACTAGTTTATGGTTGGGATTCTGTCATTCTGACAGAATAAAATCGAAAATATATTTACTAGTTTATGGTTGACATCCTGTCATTCTAACAGAATAAAATCGGATTTTTAAATTTGAATTAATTTAAAATATCAGATTTTTAAAAATAAAGGAATTAATTATCCAAAAATCCGAAATTTTCCTTTTTTAATATAACTTAATTGACTAAAATGCCCTTATGCTGAAATTTGTTTGATTATATGGTACATGTTATCCTATTCTAATATCATAGACCATCGGATCATGACCTTTGATTCTATTCCATCCGGTGGTCCAGATCTGTGCATTCTGGAACACAATAGTTAGTAATAACAAAATAACCTAAGCATATATATATATATATATATATATATATATATATATATATATATATATATATTAAGTAATGACTTTCGAGAGTGACTAATTTTATATATTTAATCATTATATTTTAACATATTTACTTACTTCTTATATAAACTGGCAACTAACTTTTGCAATATTACACGTTTAGTCATTTTTTTTTGTGTACACATTACCAAAATAAAATGTTCAAAAAAGACCATTAACAAACAAATTATCTCAAATGTCGATAGCAAAATTTACACACTTTGTTACATCAAGGGTTAACCGATTATGAAAATTGTCCGAAATTGGTCTTTCTTTCGTTGCTATAGCAGGTATAACAGATTGCTAACCTTTTTATTTTTTTACAATTATGACTTAAGTTTTAACTTTTATTACAAATCTATTCTAAACTTTTTCTACAACTTTTCTTTATTGCTTTTTAAAACTTAATTTTTTCTACAAAATATTTTTTCAACAATATTTTTTCGCAAATTTATAACCTTTTTCATAAAATTATGTTTTGACAACTTTTTATAAAGCATTTTCAAACTTAGTTTTTTTAATAAAATTGTGAAAATGCACATGTAAAAAAACTTGTAAAGAAGTAAATTTATAATAAAAATTGAGCCATATCGGTAACAAAAATAAAATTTAGGCCAAAATTATAAAAAGAAAAATTGGTTATAGGAAGTCACAAGGACCATTCATAACAAACTTTCATGATTGATCAAATTTGGTCTTTTAACTCCAAGGGAGGAGGGAGTCATTCCCTCCCAACCCACTGAACCCACCGCCACATCATTTTTTCTCTTTTATTTTTCTTCATCTTTCCCAACTCACAACACACGGAAACCCTATCTTTTTGAACCCACTCAACCCATTCAATTAGAAAAAAAATACAAAACAATTAAGGTAAAATCTTAATTAGCAATTGAGTTACGGTCGGTACCACTCCCGCTTCAGCGGGTTGTTTAATTGGTTTCACTAACCCACATCATCATCTATCTCTACTTTCTCTCTCTCATGTTCTCTTGTACCACGTGTTTTAAAACTTGTACCTTAGTTGTTTTGTATTCTTTTTAATTGAGTGGGTTAAGAAAGATAGGATTTCCGTGTGTTGTGGGTTGGGAAAGATGAAGAAAAACAAGAGACAAAAATTGATACGACAGTGGGTTCAGTGGGTTATGAGGGAATGACTCCCTCCTCCCTAAATAGCTAGTTAGTTGGCCAAATTTGATATTCCCTCTATATTTATTGGTCAAATGTGTATATAAAAAAAACAATAAGATTTAATACAGTTGCAACGATTGGCTACCCTTACATGTTCATTGGTCGTCAAGAAAAAGTTGCCTTGAAAAATAAAAAACCTTTAATTACTAGTTATAATAGTCATTTTTGAACATTTTATAGGTAAGTTTACTGATTTTCTATATTAAAGAAAAAACAAAAAACTTGGTTACTCTTACTCATATATATAAAGTTTTTAATGGATCCAAATATCCAATTAATAAAAGGTGATTGAGTCGTGGACGGTGTAGTCCATATCAAAGTTCTGAACTGATACGGATCATACCGGATCATGTTTTGTTGGACCAAGCTGGACCGGGTATTTTGGACCCGGTGACTCGTCCATGTTTATCATTTTGTTGTAAGACTCCACTTATTCTAAACTTAAAATCGTATATAAATACAATAATACTCAATTAATCACAGTCTTTTTCCAGTAAACTAAGAGGGTGTTTGGGAAAACTTTTTAAGGTTAAAAGTCCTTTTTGCAAAAAGACTTTTTGGCTAGTGACTTTTTCCAAAAGAAAATCTTTAAAAAGTATTTGTATTTGCTTTTAGGGTAAAAGTTAACTTTTTAAGTTAAAAAGTCTCAAAAGTCACAAAAAGATAAGATTGTGTGACTTTTGAAACATTCTCTTTTCCTTTTATATAAAAAGTCATTTAAAAAGATCTTTTTTAATACCCAAACTTTCGTATCTTTTTTAAACTTTTTGGGAAAGTTAAAACTTAAAAGCAATCCCAAACACCCTTTAAAGAAACCCAGACATCATCCATAAACTAGAACAGAGTCTAATTCCGATCGCTAAACCACGGGTAATGTTGAATGTCAGGCCCGGTTTAAGAAGGGGGCAAGCTGGGCCACTGCCCAGGGCCCATATGAACTTGGGGGCCCCAATTTTATATCATTAGATATTTAGTAATAATAAATTATGTTAGCATATGAAGTGAAATAGGCTTCAGCAGACTTGGTAGGATGATTTTCACATTTGATGCGGCACCTCGGATGATTTTCACATTTGATGTGGCACCCTAGTTCGATTCTTAGGAGTAGTAGTGTTTTTTACCACTTAATTGATTCTTTTTTTTTTAAATATGTTCAATTATCCTTTTTATTTAGAATTTTTTTTAATTGTTTTATTTAAAATTCATTTGAAGTTATTTACATATAATTCTGTATAATAACAATCTTTTGTAATAAATCACTAAACATTTTTATTTATCATCCTTAATTTGTCTATCACCAAGATTTGTGAAAAGAATTAATTCAGATTTAATTATTGTATAAATTTTGGTAATTTGAAGGGGCCTTTTTTTTTTTTTTTTTGTTTTGCCTGGGCATCAAATATCATAGGACCGGCCCTGTTGAATGCTGCATTGTTATGTAAAAATGGGAATCTGATCGCCTTGCTTGAAAACTGCAGATCATTGTGCCAATTCAAAAAATTGCATTCCATCATCATTACATTCGGGCTTCCACTAACCCAAGAAGATGCATTCGTCTCAAGCTTTCTCTCTTTTGCAGCCACTCACTCCAAGAACATGGATTACGCCTACGCTATTTTCCTTCAACTTCCAAACCCAACTATCTTCAATTGGAACACAATCATTAGGGGTTACTCGAAAAGCAAAAATCCTAACAAATCGATATCAGTTTTTGTTGACATGCTGCGGATGGGTATAACCCCAGACCATCTAACTTACCCGTTTCTAGCAAAGGCAGCGTCGCACTTACAAGAGGTTCGGCTTGGCCTATCGGTTCACGGACGTGTTATAAGAGATGGATTTGATGTTGACAGGTTCGTTAAGAATTCTTTGATTCATTTATCTTCTTCTTTCAAGGATCCAGGGTATGCACGCAAGCTGTTCGACGAAATGCCAAACAAGAACTTGGTTTCCTGGAACTCGATGTTGGATTGCTATGTCAAGTGTAAGAAAGTATTAATGGCTCGGGAAGTGTTTGATTCAATGCCAGAGCGTGATGTTGTATCCTGGAGCTCCATGATTGATGGGTATGTCAAAGGTAGTGAGTATAGTGAAGCACTGGCTATCTTCCAAAAGATGCATGGATCTGGTATCAATGCAAATGAGGTGACTATGGTGAGTGTATTGGGTGCTTGTGCTCATTTAGGTGCACTTGATCAAGGGATCATGATGCATCACTACATTATCAACAAGAAGATAGCTTTAACTTTAGTGTTAAGAACATCACTTGTAGATATGTATGCCAAATGTGGAGCAATAGAGGAAGCACTATCCGTATTCCATGGAGCAATCATGAAACAAACCGATGTTTTAATTTGGAATGCAATGATTGGAGGGCTTGCAACACATGGGTTTGTACACGAATCACTTGATATGTTTAAAGAGATGCTGAAGAACAAGATCACACCAGATGAGATCACATACTTGTGCATACTAAGTGCTTGTGCTCATGGAGGTTTAGTAAACGAAGCTTGGTATTATTTCAAGTCTATTACTCAAAATGGTTTGAATCCAAAAACCGAACATTATGCATGCATGATGGATGCATTGGCTCGAGCTGGAAAACTTAAGGAAGCATACACATTCTTGTCTCAAATGCCAATGGAACCAACTGCTTCCATGTTAGGGGCGTTGTTCAATGGCTGTATCAATCATAGGAATCTTGATCTTGCTGAAGTAGTGGGGAAGAAGCTTGTTGAATTGGAACCAGATCATGATGGTAGATATGTTGGTTTATCAAATGTTTATGCAGTGATTAAGAGATGGGATGAAGCAAGAACAATGAGAGAAGTGATGGAGAAGAGAGGAGTTAAGAAGTCTCCAGGATGGAGCTTTGTGGAGATACTTGGATCACCTCACAGATTCATAGCTCATGATAAAACTCATCCACAATCTGAACAAATCTATAGCATGTTGAGTTTTGTAGTAAAGCAATTGAGTGATATAGATTCTGTAATGTTCCATGCTTGCATATATGTGAATCGTATACTCTTTGATTAGAGAAGATTTGATAAGTTCAATATGTAGGGTGTGAGGATAAATTTCTATTTTCATAACTTGTATTTTAGTAAAATCAAGAAAATAAATAAAAAACAATTTTAATGGTAATATGAATATGCACAAGTTTATGATACATCCTTCACAAGTTTATTTAACCGGTAGAAGAATTATGAACATATTCACCAAACTAAGTATTAATTTTGTACCAAAGTTAACCAATATAAAGAGTTTAGCCACTCATGGCAATAGAACAACAATCACAAAAGTCTAATTGCATAAAGAAACTACCAAAAATCTTGCAAAGATGAAGAGAAATGAGTCTTGAGCTTCAAAAATCGCCTCCTACAGGTCTCTAATGGTGTAAAATCAAAGTTATGGCTGCTAGATCTGATCCCCCAAGGTTATGTGATGCAGCGCAAAAAAACAACACAAAGATAACCAAGAATGAACCTGTTGATTCTAAAAGAATAGTCAGGACAATCTCTTTAAAACCACATTGATTCTACGAATACCGTGGGATTGGCTTCAAAATCTGGGTTAACACACAGAATTTGGGAGAAAATCGAAAGTTCATAAAATTGATGATCGACCATCCAAATTACATCAAAAACAGTTAAATAAGAAGCAGAAATTAAAATGAAACCCTAAAAGTCCATGGGCCAAATACAAACCCAAAAACAAAACCCAAAAATTAAGGAAAAATAACAAAATTGTTCATAACTCCATTTAGAAAGCGATTTCTGGACTCAAAAATGGGTAAGTCCCCTTCGGGAACTTATCTGGACGTGCTCCTTGCTCCAAGCTTCGATTTGACTGGTCGTAGGCCCGAAACGGAGATTCGTAGCCAAAGTTATGGCCATTTCCGTGAAGCCCCTTTAGTCACACGATCGTGGGCCTCTAGGAACGCAAGGGCCCGATCCTCCACACTAGGGCCCGCATCATCCCCTCCTGGGTAGACAAAATTCGACCTCGAATGTGCACCATGGTCATCATCAGAAGAATCCCCATAATAAGGAAGCAAATGCTTTACATTGAAAACATCGGAACAACGAATGTGGCTTGGCAACTGTAGACGGTAAGCATTGGAATTAATCTTCTCCACAATCTCCACCGGTCCAATCTTCTTAGCTGACAGCTTGTTGTACTCACCAACCGAAAAACGATCTTTAGTCAAAACAGCCCAAACAAAGTCACCTACTTCAAAATCAACTTGTCTGCGTTTTTTATCTGCATCTTGCTTGTACTTGGAGTTAGCTCGGACCAAGTTGTCATGAACAGCCTTATGAACATCATGCAGTCCTCCAACAAAATCCTGCACTTTCTTTGGAACAACCCTAGAAAGAACATCATGCAGTCCTCCAACAAAATCCTGCACTTTCTTTGGAACAACCCTAGAAACAGGCAGTGACATCAAATCAAGTGGTCCCCGTGGCTGAACAGAATAGACCACCTGGAATGGACTATATCCAGTACTTCGGTTGATAGCATGATTATGAGCAAACTCAGCTTGACAAAGCTTCTGATCCCAGGTCTTCACATGATCACCCACTAAACACCGCAAAATATTACCAAGGGATCGATTGACAACCTCTGTTTGGCCATCCGTTTGAGGATGGTATGCACTACTAAAATTGAGCTGAGTGTTCACCATTTTCCATAGGCTGCGCCAAAAATGACTCAAAAACCTAGTGTCTCGATCTGAAATAATAGAAGACGGCAATCCATGCAAACGGTAGACGTCTTGAAAGAATAACTGGGCCACATTAACTGCATCCGTCGTCTTTTTGCAAGGAATAAAGTGCACCATCTTAGAAAAACGATCAACAACCACAAATATTGAATCATTTCCCCGTTGAGTACGTGGTAAACCCAACACAAAATCCATGCTGATGTCTACCCAAGGTTGTGATGGAACAGGCAAAGGCATATAGAGTCCTGCATTGGTAGATGTGCCCTTTGACACCTGACAGATTCGACACCGTTTAACATATCTATCCACCTCCTTGCGCATTGTAGGCCAAAAATAAGATGATTGTACCAACTGTAAAGTGCGATCTCGGCCGACATGCCCTTCACCATGCAGCTCCCTAATGATTTGAAGGCGGAGACTAGAATCAGGGATGCACAATTGATTGCCTTTGAAAAGAAAACCTTCATGCAGTAGAAAATCAGACATCTGTCCAGATTGTATACCCTGCAGAACAACAGAAAAATAAGGATCAATCGTTAGCTGCTCCATGAGGACATCCATCCCCGGCACACCAACCCTCATGGAAACTAGCAAATTACTCCTCCGACTCAATGCATCAGCCACCCGATTTGACATCCCAGACTTGTGTTTCACCACGAAAGTGAATTTTTCCAAGAACGACATCCACCTCCCATGTTTGTGTGACACCTTATCTTGACTGCGAATATGTCTTAATGAATCATGATCTGTGAACAAAACAAATTCCTTATGAAATAAATAATGGCGCCAATGCTTTACAGCTTGGACCACTGCATAGAACTCAACATCATAAGTGCTATAATGCAGCTTTGGCCCCGTCAACTTCTCACTAAAATAGGCAACCGGTCGTCCTCCTTGACTTAGAACTGCTCCAATCCCAACCTTGGAAGCATCCGTGTGTAATTCAAACACTTGAGAAAAGTCTGGCAATACAAGGATCGGTGATGTAGTAAGCTTCTCTTTTACTAATTGGAAAGCTGATTCTGCTGCTTCGGTCCAAGTAAAGGCCTTCCCTTTCATACAATCAGTCACCGGTGCCATAATAGAACTAAAGTTTGGAATAAACCTCCTATAGAATGAAGCAAGGCCATGAAAGCTTCGAACTTCAGTGATGGTAGTTGGACTTGGCCATTGTCTGACAGCTGCTACTTTAGACTCGTCCACCTGTATTCCTTCCCCAGAAACAACGTACCCCAAGAACAAGACTTTAGGAACCATAAACACACATTTCTTCATAGTTGCATACAAACTATCCCGTCGAAGTACGGTCAAAACCTGCCTCACATGGTTGACATGCTCACCAAAAGTAGCACTGTAAATAAGTATGTCATCAAAATAAACGACTACAAATTTACCAATAAAGGGCCTGAACAACTGGTTCATCACACGCATAAATGTACTAGGAGCGTTTGATAAACCGAAAGGCATCACCAACCACTCATACAATCCTTCACGAGTCTTGAAGGCAGTCTTCCACTCATCCCCAGGCCTAAGTCGTATCTGATAGTACCCGCTCTTCAAGTCCAGTTTCGTAAAGATAGAGGCACCGCTAATCTGGTCAAGTAGGTCATCAAGTCGAGGAATTGGAAATCTGTACCTCACCGTGATCTTATTGATGGCGCGACTATCAACACACATACGCCAAGTACCATCCTTTTTAGGAGTCAACAAAGCAGGAACAGCACACGGGCTCATGCTCTCCCGAACATGACCTTTTGAAATCAAGTCCTCCACCTGTCGTCGCAACTCCTCATGCTCTCCGGGACTCATTCTGTAATGTGGCCTATTAGGCAACTGAGCTCCTGGTTGTAAATCAATATGATGCTGGATGTCACGTAAAGGTGGCAAACCATCAGGTAATTCATTAGGGAAAACATCAGCGAATTCCTTGAGCAGAGGAACCATAGCCTCAGGAATTTCAACCTCCTTAGCGACTTCCTTCCCGAGCAATACAAAAATTTCACCTTCCGCCTCCAACTCGTCTTCAAACTGATTAAGGGTCAGTAGAGTACCCGAAGGTCTCGGAACTGGCTCCTTTGGCTTACTGGGAACCAATGTTATCTTCACACCACCAAACAAGAAACTGTAAGTATTAGTCCGCCCGTTATGATCAATGTTACGATCATACTCCCAAGGTCTGCCTAACAACAAATGACAAGCATCCATAGCAACCACATCACACCACACATCATCTTTATACGTGGTACCAACAGAAAATTGAACAAGGGCTCGTTTAGATACAGTGACCTCGCCACCCTTCTTAAGCCACTGTAGCTTGTAAGGCTTAGGGCGATTTTCTGTTTTCAAAGCCAACTTTTGAACTGCTTCTTCAGATATAAGGTTATCACAACTTCCTGAATCAATAACAAAAGTACAAACCTTTCCCAAAATAGTACATGTCGACTGAAAGATGTTGTGTTTGAGCCAATCATCACCAATAACTTTTGGTGTAAAACAAGACCGCCTTACCACCAAATTTACCCCCACATCTCCAGTTACAACTTCCTCTTCACATTGATGCTCTTCGTCATACACAGGGGGATCTTCGTAATTTTCACCGGCATCATCATTTTGCCAATCATCTTGCTCAGCAAACAAATGACGTTTTCCGACCTTCTTGCACTCTGATTGTCGGTGACCTGTCTCCTCACAACTAAAACACTTCAAGCTGCTACTAACAGTTGTCCTAGGATTTGGTCCAACACTGTTAGATGTCGGTCTTTGTTGATTAGGCACAACACGGGGTACCATACCACCCGTCCCGGAACTTCCTCCAATATTAGCAGTTGAAGACGAACCGCCCACCCGACGACTTTGTTTCTCAAAAGCCAACGCCCGTTGGTGCGCTTCAGAAATAGATACCGGGTCAAACATATTTACAGAGTCCATGATTTGGACCCGTAGACCCCCAATATATCGAGCAACGAGTTGTTCCTCTGTCTCCTGGATATCGTTTCGGGCAATCAATTGGTAGAACTCAGTTGTGTAATCGTCAACTGATTTGGCACCCTGCTTCAGATTTTGCAACCGTTGGTACATCAACCTTTGAAAGTTATGGGGTAGGAAGTTGGATCGTAAACACTTCTTCATCTTCCTCCAAGTCACGACCTTTGACTTTCTGAGCTTGTCTCGTGTCAGTTTCAGTTGTTGCCACCATGCAGATGCCCTACCACGTAGCCTGGTAGCAATCAATGACACTCTTTTGTTTTCAGGGACTTCTTTGAACTCAAAAACTTCCTCAACAGTAGCCAACCAGTCGATGAACCCCTCC